AAGAAATACAATTATACAAGAAATACACTTATACAACCTTGATAGCATCTATAAAATAAAAATATATAGCAAATTTATCATTTTTTTTTCATTAAAAAGTGTACTTTGAAAACTTGCTAATTATTATGTACAGAAATAATAAAAAAATTTGAAAATTTCATAAACTCTAAATTGAATTGTATTTTGGGATACTTGATTGATTGCTAATTTGACAAATCTTTAGCAAAACTCTGATTATGATAATGCAGATCTGATTTAACAAATATTAAATATACTTCCATTACCAAGAAATACACCTTTTTTTAAATATTTAATTATTGTTATTTTACAATGTGACAGTGACACTTATATATTTATTATAAGTACACAGTGACAATTATATATTTTGTTCACAATTTGTTTTGATTACTTTTTTTAAGTAATTTCTTTGCATAAGATGAACTTCAAATTATAAAGATACAGCATATATTTTAGTGATTCAAACTTGCCTGAAATTATTATTCTCAAATGCCTAAAAACAACATTTTTAGGTTAATATTTTTCACCCATCTTATTTATAAAGGCTTAAACTTGTAGTTAAATCCAGCTTTTTCTACATGAAATAATTTTGTGCCGATTTTTGCCATCTATATTTGATAGAAATTATTTAAATTTTTAAACAATACAATTTCTTTGCATATTAACCAAAAGGGCATTATTATTGAAATTTATTTCTGTGTGTGTTTCAGATAATTTAAATTATACCTATGACCACAACTCTGAAAAAAAAAATAACATCACTGATTTAAAAATCTTTTTTAAGTGTTTCATGTAAACATTCATTTTGATAAATCAAGCCCAAACATTAGCACTTTAGAGTAATCAGAAAAAAACACCTCTTTTCACTCACAGTGCTCATCTCCCTTAATGTGTAAAAGTAGAGAGAGAAAGGTTTCATTTGGTATATTCTTATTATGAAAAGCAGCTGTGTGCCATGAAAATAAGGGATTTTAATTTATGTTTTCAGAAGAATAAAAGCTTTTGGTGCTTTGACTTTTGTACATGCAGCATATCATTTGTGATATGTACTGAGCAGCTCTTGTTTATCTCTGGTTGCATGTATTTTTATTCAGTTCACTCTAGTCAAACTTTTGCTCAGATAAGTTCTTATTACTACTAGACCAACCTCTGCTTGTAAATAATGTTATATTTGTAAATAATGTGCATAATCAGAGATATCTATTAATTTATTATATTTCTTTGCTCCTATATCATTTTGAAAGCATACAAGTAGTAAATTCTTGTTACTACAACAACATTTTGTGGTCACGGGTAGATTCACGTTGAATCAATCTTCTTTTAATATAAGGATATTTGATAGAGCAATAAACTCCCATAAAACAATAATTTTCATACCAATTCTGTTTTCTAACCAAGTAGCGATTTTCCTTTTCTTAAATACCCAAATAAGAAAGATTGTTTTTTTAATTTTGAAACTTAATGAAATGACTAACTAAATGAAATAAAATCTGAATATTTGTGGGCCATCTTACCTGGAAAGAACGTTGTCTTGAAGATTTACATTCCATTTACTCTAAATCCTGATAAAACCCACTAACGAATTCATATATACTATAACTATGCAAACCTGAATTTTCAGAGTTGGGTATTTTGATAAAATATTTCCCTTTAATGTGTACAGTAAAACAACTAAATCCCTTTAATCTATATCATTCCTCAATATAACATTTTTCCTGAGATCATCAAAGTATTGTTGTAACAAGGATTTGCTTACAGTGTGCAAATATAAATAATTTATCAGAGTCCTACTATTGTTATAGTTTTATTAATTTATAATTCTTATATACATTTATAGTTATACACATTGGTGGAGATATGAAATGTAATTTTTGAAGTGAAATAAATAATAAAAAAAGATTTATTTGCTACGTATGGTGTATTGTTATTTTATTAGTATTTTGCTTAGCTTTACCTTTTTATGAAGTAAATAAATGATAAAGTAAAAGATATATATACCATATTTAATTGGTAGAAATTAACTATAATCTATGTAGAGACATGCCACCTTACTTCTCTCTTGGTCAAAACTAGGCTGTGTGCTGTATAAAATGATTTGATAAGATCAATTTCTCGTGATGAACGGGCAGGTGGATAATTGGAAATGAGTTTTCTTACAGACTTAACTGTGAACAGAGACTTACAGTGAAACAACAGATAGAGATACAAATCTCTTAATAATTTTGAAAACTGTGTTTGAACACTTGTATTTTAAATAGAATTTTGGGATGTAATTTTGAATGGGATATGTGATACAGCTAGCGTAATGAAAAAGTCATGTTAAAAACTAGAAAATCACTTTTAAAAAAACTAAATTGTAGCTAAAATATCATCACGTCTGTATTTAGAAATCTAAGATCATGAATTATAGAGTATTGGTAAGATTAAAAAGTTTTTCGAAATATTTTTTTAAAACATGTTTCATCTTTAAGGATAATCATCAATCTTTGTTTCAGAAGTTAATTATGACCTATGAAACAAAGCTTAAAATAATCCTTCATTATTTAAAAATCTCTGAATTTCCATGAACAAATTACTGAATAATTATATAAAATTTTTAAAAAAAATGTAGTATTAAATGATGCTATGACGGTTTTTCTTTTAAAGATGCCATCTGGCATTGACCGCAGCCAGCGATATTTGACATTGGTGATCTGCTGGGAATAGTGTCTTAATGATCAGTCCACTGCAGGATAAAACATAGAAATGAAAGACTCAGAAAATGAGACATCATTTTAACTCGTGGGCTTTCGACAAAATATGCCAGTCTAAGACTAGAAATTTCAAGTGGAAGTTTGTTTACTGTACAATACGAGGAATGAAAGGAAAATTTACAAAAATTAGAGAAATCCTAAAAACACAGATAGAAAAGGATCTGGACGAAGTTCTCGAAATACTCAGAGAAGAAGAATGCGTGTTACAAATGTTTTAAGCATGTTTACAAGAAGTGAAGCATTCCAAATAATAGAATGAAATAAAAACTTGCCTAATTTGTGTTTTATCTCCAAGAAGCCAAATCATATTGGCATAAACTGCTATTTCAAAAATAAACAGGTTTCAACTGATTTTGGTAAGCGAGGAATATTTGTCAGTTATTCTCGATATAAACGCGCATATAAGATTTATAGTGCTAAAAAGTTCATAATGGAGGAGAGATCAATTAAGTTTGATGAACTGATTAAAGGAATTACATTTTCAACAAACAGAAATGAATCCTATGATTGAAATATTGAGAATTTGACCCAGTTTAACGAATCATATCCGTTAATTGAAACTCAAATTCCCCCTCCGCACAATTGGATAAATTATCACCAGGAACAACTGATTTGCAGAAAGATGAATACGATTTTCATTTTGAAACATCCAGAAAGGATTTAAAATAACTACTATAAATGAATTGTGCCATGAAATGCTTATGCATCCCAATAAATTATGAAGCAATAAAATTTTCGAGAAACAGAAATGAATCCTATGATTGAAATATTGAGAATTTGACCCAGTTTAACGAATCATATCCGTTAATTGAAACTCAAATTCCCCCTCCGCACAGTTGGATAAATTATCACCAGGAACAGCTGATTTGCAGAAAGATGAATACGATTTTCATTTTGAAACATCCAGAAAGGATTTAAAATAACTACTATAAATGAATTGAGTCATGAAATGCTTATGCATCCCAATAAATTATGAAGCAATAAATATTTGGAATGGAAAAACTTAACTTTTTTAAGAAATTAACTTTTTTCAATGAATAAGGTTTTTGATCAAATTTTGTACTAAATAATAAAGGGTAAATAGGTGCATACAATTTAAATTGTAAATGACAAAAAATTTTTAAAGTATATAATCAAGTAAAAAATATAAATTATTCAGAATCATATTCACCTGATGTAAACATTAAATCATTGAGATTATTATAGCATTATCTACAAAACTTGATTTTTGTCTTATTTTGAAAGAAAAAAAACTTAAAACAGCCTGTTTATATGAAGATATTGAAGAAACTGTATGGAGAACTGAAACCGAGGACGTTCAACCTGGTTATGAAGAAGAGTATGGTAAGAACAAAAATAGCAAATTACATTGCTGCATATATGGTCTACCGCACTTTGATAGTATAGGCATATAAAATAAACTGAAAAAGATTGGTCTCAACCAACTTGCAATTAATTATGTGGTACAGTACAGAACCCGTTATCCGGAAATCAGAAAACCGGAACGAAATTCGATAAATTTTCCCGCCATTTTTATTTCCTTATAAGATTTTAGGATTTTTCTTTCTTTTTTGAAAGATGTTCACCTTACCATCATTTTGGAAATAATCATTAGTGTATTACTTCATCGTTTTTTCTTCTTTTCAGGATTATTTTCTAAAAAAAATTTTTTTTTAGTTGGGTTTAACAATAAAAAAACGGCTTTTCGTAGCGATTCAGAAAACCGGAAAAATCAGTTATCCGGAATAGTGATGGTCCCGATCGTTCCGGATAATCGGTTCCCTACTGTATTTACTAAAATTGAAAAAACCCATTTTTTAGCTATTTGTGCTTATATTGATGACTTAGCAATATTTTTGTATTATAAATTATTTGAGGATATACTATATGGTTTCCCTTTAACAGATGTTGAGCATTAAACACAGGCAGAACCAATTTTTTTTCTAGCCCATATTAAAGATAATGAAAAAATAAGTAAAAACATAAAATATTATTTTTTTTTTTGTGGATTTAAACTTTGTGCAAAGCTGCACATGATAATGCTACAGAAAAGTACTGGATGCTATTGTGCCGCCACTCTGCAACTGTTTTTTGTAAACAGCCTAGTGAAATGCTTCTATGTATACATATATTGAGCTTAACCTCCATCTCACACTTTATTTTCCATGACAAGGTTTTATTTTTGAATATCAATTATTAAAACACATCTAAGAACATTCAGCTACAAGCAAAGAACAATAATTTATTCTACCAAGTTCAACAGAAAAAGATTTTTTGTAGATACAGCTATATACATTATACAACTTTTTTTTAAAAATTTACTAAGCTCCTTAATTTGATATTACTTTTAAAATAATAATGGACAATAAATTACTTCTGTTCATTCTTCATGATAAGTTGTTTAAACATCTTTTCAGATTCTTTGTAAGGAGCCCTATTATTAGTAATTTCATACAGAAGTGTGAGCAATGATGTCATGTACCTTTGCTTTCCGGAATTCTTGTACTTCTTAACCATTTTGGGTCGAGCAGCCATCACACGATGGCAGTATGCTTCTAATTGTTTTTCATCATTGATCTGATACCAGTTGAAGTCTCTCACGATATCACTGGCCGTTCTCTGGTCTCCTTCGAACAGCATCTCGAGGACGTCAACAGCAGTTGCTTCGGTTATAGTTCTTGTCTTCAGAAGGTTCACAATTTCAACCAACTGTTTCGCAGTTAGAGGGCAACTTTTGAACGACAGTTGCCTCACATTCAGCAGTGCATAGAGTATATCAAAGAGAAATTCACAAATTGCATCTGGTTCAGATAAAAAACTAGCTATTGCTTCAAATTTATCTTTGGCTCCTTCGTGATTTACTAGTTTATCTGCATGTTTTAGCGAGAGTTTATAGACACTCATTAAAGTAATGCGCTCTTCGTGGGGTAAAACTGGCATTTGGTCTTTAAAATCATTTATACTCATAGCTGTTTTATCTGATTGAGTTGCCTCTAAACATATTGGTGGTAAATTTGGTTCAGGCATAAAACGATAGTCCTGCAGCACTTCCTTATCCCGCATAAACACAGTCACTTTATTTTGGGTATCGTAGGCTCGTGTCTCATTCACAACCAAATCACCTTTTTTGAGCAATTTTATTTGGCGGTCGATTTCGAAATCGATGGCACGTGCAACGTACCTTAAACTGTTTAAGTTTTTCACTTCAGTTCGAACGCCTAAAGGTTCCCCAGGTCTGTGGACAGATATGTTGGCATCTACCCGTAAAGTACCCTCTTCCATTTCGCAAGAGCATGTGTCAATTCGCTTTAAAATTAGAATCAACTCTTTCACTAAAGCAGCTGCTTCCTTTCCATTGCTCAGGTCTGGTTGAAAAACAAGCTCCATCAGTCCGATACCCGCTCGGTTGAGATCAACAAAGCTTTTTTCTCCTTTGACATGGAAAGTTCGACCGCTATCTTGCTCCAACTGTAACTGCTTCAAACAAGATATTTTTTCATGAGGATCACCCAGCTCTTTGTCATAAACTATAAAACTTATTTTTCCATTACTAGCGATAGGGTTGAATTGTTGGGTTATTTGATAACCTGCAGGCAAATCAGGATAAAAGTAATGCTTCCTATCGAACGAGGAAAGTGTGTTAATTTTACAGTCAAGAGCCAATGCAGTTTTAATGGCTGCTTCAATGCAATATTTGTTTAAGACAGGCAGAGTACCTGGTAAGGCAGCATCAAAGTAAGAAACCTCTGTGTTGGTTGCCGATCCAAAAACTGACTGCGAACTCGAAAATAACTTGGATTTAGAATTAATTTGTGCATGAACTTCAAGTCCGACGACGCTTTTCCACAAGTCGTTTTCAGCAGTCCCTGACAATTGAGAGCAAAATCTTCGAAATATTTTAGGATAGTATTGCCCAAATTTTTGATTGATTGCTGCTAATTTCATGTTGACTGGATATTTTCTGTATGATGCAATCATAAACAACCTCTTCAATATGCAGTAAGAGCAAAACAATAACTCGCATCAAACAGGGCTCAGAAATGTCCGGAAAATGAAGAGTTGAAAACCTGTCCAATTAAAACATAATATGCCAAGTATTTTTACCATCAAAAAATAACATTAAAATTTTTTTATTTGAAATGCTGAACCGGAGATTTTTTGTAGAGCAATGTGAAGAGTTCTATGAGAAAACTACCGGCGATTCAACCGAGTCGGCTCATGTAAATAAATGAGTGTATTTACGTTTTGTTTAGCTATTTCTGCCCAACTTGTCATGCAAAGTGTATTAAAAGGTTCTTTTGTGACTAAGCCAACTCCCCCAATCATTTACAAGCGCTTTATTTATAAAATGTTGGCAACACTTAACAANAGTAGCAAGTAGCGAAAATTCAATTTTCAGTAGCGGGGACTTTTAAAAGTAGCCCAATCCGCTACTTGTAGCCCAATCTGGCAACACTGGGTTCTTTAATGACTAAGCCAACTCCACCAATCATTTACAAACGCTTTATTTATAAAATGTTGGCAACACTTAACAATGTGTTTCCATGACAACAAGTCGTATCTCCATGAAAGATACATAGACTTTTGTAAATATCGTAATCATCGTGATTGTTAGAAACTGTTGTCATTGAAATGTGTTAATAAAAAGTATCAAAATGTACAAAGTGAAGCTATTAGTTGTTGGTCCATGTGAGGTATTAGTTCCCCTTTTCATTATTTTATTGTATAAGTATAGCATTTTTGTGATTGTAAAGTTCAAATCGTGTAAAGAATTTCTTAGCATTTGCAATAAAGTCAAACAAGGCCGTTTAATAACTAAAACTATGCAGTTACTTGACTTCTAAAAGGAATTCGTCCATTGAACACGAAAGGTCACAGTAATTGAGCCACAATTTGTTGTTAATATGCAAACAAATGAGAATAATATTCATTACCTCACTAAACGCTTATCACGAGTGACTTAAATCATTTTATCGTTTCTATTTTTATTGAAAAAAAGAAAGTTACTACCGTTGTTGTCATCGAAGCTGTTTTACATGATTTTTAAAGCACTGTGAATGATTCTCACTGTTATAAAAGGCACTAAAATTTTTCTCATCTCATTATCTGAAGGAAAATTTAATCTCAGTAAAATTATATTTTTTTGCATCTTATGACTGAAGAAAAATAAATTCCTGTGTTATTTTTAAAATACATCGAATTATTTCCAAAAACTGGAAATTATAAAGTTTTGGTGGTTTTTTTTTTACAGTAGGAGGCTCTTTGCTGTGTTCCCCAACTCCCCTAATTGGTTTTCATTCAACATTGTTTATTTCTTCTGAAATGCCACTATTTTTCACGAAAACACAGAAAATTTTGGTTTCAAAATATACAACTATTTCAACTTCATGTTAGAATATTTTATTTATATGTTAATTAGCTAGCATCTACAAGGAAACGACAATCTAGCTTCTCTTTTACTACTCATCCTCAATGACAGCATAATATGATGTTAATGATAGATGTGCGCGTTGAACTCTGGGAGATTTGGAGGGGAAAAAATTAATAGTACAATAAACAAATTAGTTACCAATATTGTGGTTCTATTGTTTTTAAATTTTTTGTTATATTTTTGTTATTTTTTATTGTTGTTTTTATTTTGAAGTTGATTAATTTTTTGTTATATTTATTGTTATTTGTTTCATTTTTTATTTCAAGTTGGTTATTTTTTTTATTGTTTCAAGTTGCTAGTGTTCATAGTTAGTTATGTTCAATTTCCAGCATAGACAATTCAACTATGAACACTTTTTGTTCTGCCTGTGAAAAGTAATTTTCAGCAAATCATAATTTTCAAAAACACACCATTAAAAAACATCCTATCAATATTGATATTGTAACACAAAATGTAACTAAATCAAAAACTTATTATCATGCTTGTGATGCTTTCAATGTGAATTATAATGCAAGAGGAAATTTTAAACAGCATTTAAAGACACTGATGAGTCCACTGAAACAGCTTATGGTTTGGTTATACTGGGGACAGCCTATACTGGGCAGGGGTACTTAACCTTAAAAAAATACATCAGTATAGGGTATACCGGGCAAATGTATTCCAGGCAGTGGCATTTAACTTTGAAAAAACCTCAAAGTATGCTATTTCTGGCAATGACACTTAATTTTAAAATAACTTTAGTATTGAGTATACCAGGCAAATTTACTCCGGACAGTGTCACTTAACCTTATAAATCATCAGTATAGGGTATACCGAGCTAAGGTATTCTGGGCAGGGGCACTCAACTTAAACATCAGTATAGGGTATGCTGGGCTATAGCACTCAATTTGCTTGATTAATCCGATTATAAAAAATAATGAACAGTGATTATTTTGAATAGCAGCATTCGATACACAAATACTTTCAGTAATCAGAAAGACTGCAATAATTCTCTCTACACATTTCTTTATTACACACAATAATGTTCTTTAATTTTTAATCATATTACTTTTCAAAAAAGTATTAGAAGTAAATATTAATTTTAACTAAAGTATTATTGCTAAAAAAGTATATTAATCCTTTCTGGACAATTTTTTTTTCCGATTCAAACAGCTATGTAAACAAAACCATGAATTCTGAACAGGATTATAAAAGTAAAAAAAAAAACTGCTGGACTCTCTAGCTAAGTGTCACAACAATTAAATTGAAAGATCATTAAAATATATAAATTTTATTTACAAAGTAATTTGATATTTTGAGAGACACAGACATAATATCAAGCCTAATTCAAAAGACATAATTATATGATTAATTACTAGTAAAATTAACTTCAACATTTTATACTTAAGACAACCTTATAAATAACTATCTATAACAGATCTGGTAAAGAAGTTAATTTGCGCATCAATCATTATATTATGCCTGGTTGGCAGGACACTGGACTCACGTTCATGAGAACGGGAGTTCGAAACTAGCCGGACGAAAACTCCTCGTGTAGTAAATGGTGACTAGTGCACATTAAATCTGTCAGGTCACAAAGTCCCCCATGTTCCCATAACAAATTACACCTCTGGGGGTATTGAATTGGAGATTGATCGTACTCGGGTTCAGGTCGAAATTACGACCTGTGAATGTATGAATGGATCCGCCCTATAAGCGGGTGTGACGTATGGATGTGGCAGAAGTCGAATTTTTGGCCATAGATGGCGCCACTGGAAAACAAGAACAATCGCACCCCCTTTTCCTTAATGACCAACGACAACAGTAAAGTCGTTATATTATGGTGTTATTGAGCATTGGGATAAGGAAAAGAAGAGAAGCTAAATTCTCGTTTCTCTTTAGACTCTATTGTTAATCATAATGAAATATACAATTACCTGGATTAGAAAAATAATCATTTTTACTTTTTACTGATATTGTCTGTAGCGCGAGTTTATAAAAAATGATGAAATAAAGATCTCGTGGTGAGGGGAAAATAAATTTTCTGAAACAATAGATAACAAAGAGTCAATTTTTAACGCAAAAAAAAGGGCTGAAAAAAATCACGAAAAAGCACTTAAATTTACAATAACTTTCGAACAACGGGGAATTTCTCAAAAAACTCTCATTAATACCAAAAATAAAATATTCCTATCAGCACATTAAATTTCAACTTTGTAGTTGCATTTCAACGGACGGATTTCTAAATCTTATATATTTTGAGCAGCGAAGCGGAATGTAACATAAAGAAAAACGTGAGAAAAATTAGCAAAAAAAAAAGCACTTAAAGTTTCAATAACTTTCGAACGAATTTAAATTTGGAAAAAGAAGAAAAAAAATGTAACGTTAAGTTGAGCCCCCTAAACAGCAGCGTCGGCTCTTACGATTTTTAAACATAGAGAAATACAAGGAGGCTTCTTCTCATAATTTCTATTATTTAAATATTTTACTGCTAAAGACAATATATCATATTTTAATTCGTGTGAAATATAAAATCTGATTTGTAAATTTTAAAGCTCATAAAAGAGGGAACGAATATCATGTTTTATCTAAATTCCTTGAATTGAATATCGCATGAGCGGAAAAGAAGAAAAAAAAATAATTTCAGATGCTCGAAAATTTTTTTGTTGTTGCTATAATTCCTAATAAGTCGAAAAAATGTTACTTTATCACAAAATTAAATTTAAAAGAAGAAAAAAATCTTGTCACTAAGTTTTTGATTAAGAGAAGATTCAAAATGATACGTAACAAGCGTTATTTTGTTTCTTAATATTAAAAATTTTTTTTATAAAAATCTGGCACAATATTTAATGTTCTTCAAACCTAAAACAGTCCTATATAAAATTTTGATAAAGTTGTGGCCCGCCATTTGACTGGTGTTTTTAATTGGGCCCCCGGCCTCATGTAAGTTGGAAACCCCTGGTTTAGTAGTGCTATTGTTTTAGATAATTCAGTTTTTTTTAAAAAATATTTTTAAGATAACTTAAGATATTTTTAAGATCAGTGATCTAAAGAAAAGACAAGCAAGACTGAACAATACAACTATAGCATTAGTTTCGAAAAGTGATTTTGTTTAGGGGTTCGCTCTTTATATTTTTCAAATGTTTTTTTTTTTAATTTCATTGTAAATATCCAGAATGAACCCTCTAAATATTGAGTAAATAATAGTAATGTAATATGAATACAACATAGATAGATAAATATATGTTACTGGGGAAGAAGTACATAATCAATTTTCTTTCAGTGTGGAAAAACTGTGATATCAAATTTTCTTGCTGATGCTACAGAAACTATATCCAATGAATATTCTCCCACACAAGGAGTCAGGTAGTAATAGAGACTATTTCTCGAATAATCAAGTTAAAAATCAACGGTTTGATTATTTTTTTGCATTTTTGTGATACTAGTTTTGCGTTACAGCTAATTATGAATTTGTCTAGTTTTTAAGATTTTATTTTATCATTATCTACTTTTTACTTATCTGTCTGTTACTTTGTTTATAGAAATTCTGATTCTCAAAAGCTTTCATTGCACCATTAACGAAACTTTGTAATGCATCCCCTTTTTTAATCTTAAAATATAATAAACAAACAGTATAATCGTTGTTTGCTTTCAGAATTCTTGAATTTGAAAGTGACAATTTAAACATCAATGGAAGAATTGGAAAAGCTGAAGTTGAATTATGGGACTGCAGTGGAGACACTAAGTTCGTTTCAGTTTTCTGATTTTCTTTGCTTGCATGGCAAAAATTGATGAATACAATAATATATCATAAGGGATAATTTTATCATTGAATAAAAAAAATACGTGTCGTTTTTCACAAATAAAAACTGTTTATTTGGTTTGCAGAGTGTTTCCCTAATTAAATTATTCGTTTTATATTGGAATCATTCGGTTTCCTTTTTCGACTCACATATTTATATCTCTCTAGAACTTGAAATTACGAAGAGAAATGTGCAGGAAGTATCCTGGATACGATTATTAGTTTGAGAATTATCAATAGTTAAATACCAAGTGGAACAATACGATAAAAGTAAGTGATTAAAAAATCAAACCAGAATGATCATTTATTGTAGACAAAAATACGAATGAATTTAGGTTTCAGTACCTTGTTGGGTTACTTCTAGCGCGAATGCTTGATGCGATACGGTCGGGCATTGATGCATACGAGCCTCTGATGATGTCATAAAGCATCTAGATCCAATTCTGCTAAACTCGGATGATCTTCAACTTTCTGCCCTAAGTGGTCCAAGATATGCTCCATCAGTGACAATTCTGGGGATCTTGCAATCTAGGGAAGGTTGTAATGTGAACAACGCAGTCCTGTGATGCCATTGCGTGCCAGAGCATTATCCAGTTGTAAAATTTCTCGTGAAAGCCCTACTAGGAGTGACAACAAGTGTTGCTGAAGGATGTCAGGTACGTACTACTGGTGTGTTATAGTGTCATGGATCAATATTAGGAGTGATCGTGTTCCGTAAGCGATGGCAACCCACACTATTACACCAGCTGTAGGAACGGTTTGTCGCTGTACTGCGTTGGCAGGATTGAACCATCCACCACGGGACCTCCACACGCTTACACAATTGTCGTCACTATCCAAATTGAATTTGAATTTGTCGCTGAAGACGACCTGGCTCCATTCTGTTACGATGCAATCTCTTCAAGCGCTTCACTACTCCGAACAGGGGCAATGATGGGATAGTATCAATCCTGCCTTCGCTGTACAGCAGCACACTGTTCTTACAGCTGGTGTGATGATATAGGTTACCATCACATAGGAGACACGATCACCTCTAATATTGACACAGGGAACCGTGACCCCCAACGGTACGTTCTTCTTCAACCACATGCGGTGTCTCTCATGGCAGGGGTCGCCGGGACCCTCATTGAACAGGACAATGCTTCGCCACATTACCAACCTTCCCTGGCCTGCAAGATCCCCAGAATTGCCATTGATATAGTATATCTTAGATCACTTGGGACGGCAAGTTGAACATGATCCGAGTTTATCCGAACTAGAGGCGCGTTTACAGAACTGTGGAATGAGATGCCACAGGACATCTTTAGGGATTTATATGCCTTAATGCCTGACCATTGCTGTCAAGATTTCCCAATCAAGATTTAGCATTCGCACTAGATTTAATCCAACAGGGTATCTCAATTCAATCGTATTTTAGCCTCAATAAATGATTATTCTGCTTTGATTTTTAATCACTTACTTATATTAATTTTGTACTTGTACATGCGAAATTACGTTTTATTCTGTTAACTCTTTCTTAGTTAAGAGGAGGATCAAATACAGTTTTATAATCATTTCGTTTTGTTGTCTTATGAGGGAGGTACTTCCCCTAAAATTTTGTTACGACTGCAGTCCTTACAGCAATGATCTGCAAAGTATGGATGGTGTGAAGTCCAGATATAGCAATAGTGAGAGCCATTTCATGCTTAATCCCGCTCGTTCACGTAAGCATGCTCCACAGTGAGTGACAAGTGTGCTTAGAGGAATCTGTTTTATGTTGCTTCAGATCTTTTTTTTTAATCCTCTCATGCTCACATTCGCTTTTTTTGAAGTAGATTGCAGGATAATGTGTCGTGAGTATTCGTAATTTCTTAAGAACATGCGTACGTGAACGTGAATAGATGACTTCTCTCATTACCTCTCCACAATCCCATACATTACATTGTGCGGAAGTTGACTGTGCGCAAAGAGCAACAAGACTGAGAGATGTCTGTTGTTAAACGCACATTTATTAACTGGCTTCTACCAGTGATTCGTCAGCTGTCTCATACGAGTCTTTTCATAGCTTAAAATAGATCATATTTTGGACGTAAAAATCGTTTTTATACAAAGAATTCTGATTAAAATATTGTTTTCTGAAGTTCCTTGAGGTCTCTATGGCGCCATTAGTCAAAACGAATCGAGGTGGTGGAATTTTCTTTTTTCGAATGATTATGTTAGGGGAGATATTGTGACTATCTGCGTTGCTTTCTTGTAAAATAATGGTCCAAATGGCCAAGACCCTGACCGGAAAGGCTACTTCCTCTCTCTCTCTCTCTCTTTCTCTTTCTCTTTCTCTTTCTCTTTCTCTTTCTCTTTCTCTTTCTC